TTCCTTCCTTCCTTCCTTCCTTCCTTCCTTCCCTCCCTCCCTTCCCATATTGTTCCTTCCTTCCTTCCTCCCTTTCTTCCTTCCTTCCTTTCCCTTCCTTCCTTCCTTCCCTCCCATATTGTTCCTTCCTTCCTTCCTCCCTTCCTTCTTTCCCCCGTTCCTATATTGTTCCTTCCTTCCCCTATCTTCCTCCCTTCTTTCCTTTCCTTTCCTTTCCTTTCCTTTCCTTTCCTTCCTTCCTTCCTTCCTTCTTTCCTTCCTTTCCTTTCCTTCCGTCCCATATTGTTCCTTCCTTCTCCATCTTCCTTCCTTTCCTTTCCTTTCCTTTCCTTTCCTTTCCTTTCCCTTCCTTCCTTCCTTCCTTCCTTCCCATATTGTTCCTTCCTTCCCTTATCTTCCTTCCTTCCTTCCTTCCTATATTGTCCCTTCCTTCCCCTATCTTCCTTCCTTCCTTCCTTCCTTCCTTCCTTCCTTCCCATATTGTTCCTTCCTTCCCCTATCTTCCTTCCTTCCTTCCTTCCTTTATTGTTCCTTCCTTCCCCTATCTTCCTTCCTTCCTTCCTTCCTTCCTTTCTTTTCCTTTCTTCCTCCCTTCCTCTCCGCTTTCCATCCCATCTTCAGCCTTTCCCCACAAATCCATCACTTTGACCTCTACTCCTGCCTCTGGTTCTTTGTACCTTTCTTTGGAGTTCACCAAGGCTCCGACCTCATTTCCCCCGCTCCCCCTCTTTCTGGTCCACCTTATTCCTTCTTTTTTCCCCTTCTCCGCCACATGGACACCTTCCTCCAAAGCTCCTTCAAAATCTCCTTGGCCTTCCCTTTCAGTCCCACTCTTTCCTCTTTTATTTTATCCCATTTTGTATCCTTTCCGACAGCACCATCTCTATAAATGCTGTTTTTATTATTGTATTCTCCAACACAATTGTTATTTTTCCTCAAGATTCCTATTGTTCTTATTCATAGATGCTCTCTTAGACATGCACACAAGGCATCTCTCTCTCTCTCTCTCTAACCCTCTTTCTCTCTCTTCTCTCTATTTCTTTTTCCTTCTCTTTCTTTCTCTCTTTCCTTCTCTCTCTCTTTTTCCTTCTTCCTCTTTCTGGCTATCCCTTTCCTTCTCTTTCTTTCTCTCATTCCTTCTTTCTCTCCCTCCCTCCCTTTATTTCCTTCTCTCTCTCTCTCTCTCTTTGTCTCTTTCCTTCTCTCTCTTTCTCTCTTTCCTTCTCTTCCTTCCTCTCTTTCCTTCTTTCTCTCTCTCTCTCTCCCTCCCTTTCTTTCCTTCTCTCTCTCTCTTTCTTGATGGCCATCATCTGCAATATTCTAATTTGACTTTTGGTCCTGAGGGCTTGAAAAAGCTACCGGGTCATGCAAAAAAAAAAAATGTGCAACTTAAAAGCAGCCTTTTTTTTTTCTTGTAAATGGAGGTGGATCTGTCTTTGGGTCCAATTATGTAAGGTATGCAAGGAAAAAGTTTCCAGGCAGTTTCAAGATGACATCACTGGAAGGAATTGTGAGTTCACGTTCTCCCTACTGACATGGGCCTCCTTTTCAGATGAAGGGGTTGGCTTGCAGTTTTGATCCTTGGATCCCCCTTAAAACGATGGACGCTGCCATTGAAATGGGCATCTATTCTCTTCCCCAGACTGCACCATTGTGGTTTTTGGGTTTTTTTTACCCTTGATATTGAAGAATATCAGGCATAGATCAATGCTCGGCTTAGAACTCCTAATCAATCGAATTGATCCATGTATTTTATAAGTTGTCCCCATGTCTATAAGAACAGGCATGTTCAGCCTCGGATCCGTACCTGCCTCCCCTCTTTCTGTGTGATCCTCCCTTCCCCTTCTCCCCCTCCTCTTTTCTCTTGACTTTGGGATGGATTGTGTGTTGCTTCCAAGGACGTGATCAAAATCTTTTCAGGGACCATGCAAAAACGGAAGGACGCTTTGGAATGCTAAGTGTACCTTGAAAAAAAAAGGAGGGGGGGGGGAAAGGAAGGAAAGGATAAATGCCATTTTGGGGGAAAGGTTTGTAATGTAATAAACACCGCTGCAAGCATATCTTGTGTCTTAATGAAGCTTTGCATGGCCTCGCCAAAGAAGAGGCTTTGCATGAGGGGCGTTGTGCATTATGCATGTGTGTCAGAAAGAGAGAGGGGGGGAGAGGGAGAGGGAGGGAGGGAGAGAGATAGAGAGAAAGAGAATGTGCCACGAGAAGGAGAGATGGAAAGACCCCAAGCAAAGCAGAACAAAGGAGGGGAAGAAGAAGACGAAACGGAGAGATTTCTAATTTCAAATGCAGAGTTTGTCTATTCCCTATATATGAATTGCTCTAACCCCCTTCTTGTCAATTGTCAAACAGAAGCTTCCGTGTGTGCATAATAATAAAATCACGATGAATTATTGAATGATGAATTCCCCCCCGCCTTCCCTCGGGGTCTTATACAATGCATCCAACAGTAGAGATGACCCTACCTGGAATAGAATAGAATGGAATAACAAGAGTTGGAAGGGACCTTGGAGGTCTTCTAGTCCAACCCCCTGCTTAGGCAGGAAACTATACATTCCAGACAAATGGTTGTCCAATCTCTTTATTTAAAAACTTCCAGTGTTGGAGCATTCACAATTTCTGGAAGCAAGTTGTTCCACTGATGAATTGTTCTAACTGTCAGGAAATTTCTCCTTAGTTCTAGGTTTGCTTCTCTCCTTGGTGAGTTTCCATCCGTTGCTTCTTGTCCTGCTCTCAGGTGCTTTGGAGAATAGCTTGACTGCCTCTGCTTTGGGGCAGCCCCTGAGATATTGGGACACAGCTATCATGTCCACCCTGCTCCTTCTTTTCATCAAACTAGACATACCCAGTTCCAGCCAACCGTTCTTAGTATGTTTTAGCCTCCAGGCCCTTGGATGAATAAGCTTATTCTCGTCTTAATTGTCTTATCAGTTCTTCCTTCCCTTCCAGAACTTTGGTCCCTAAAACCTATGTTCTTTGTGTCTTTTGTAGACTATCCATCTTTGTTCAGGAACAATAGGCTTGATCGCTGATCTGAGAAAAATGCTCCTCTGGCTTTTTTTGGTGTTGTCCAGTCCAGCTTCTTCTACGGATCCAGAAACGGAGGCCTCGGTGGAAATTTGCAATGTTTGTTCCTGTGTGTCAGTGGAGAACGTCCTTTACGTCAACTGTGAAAAGGTGGCCGTTTACAGACCCAACCAGCTGAAGCCCCCTTGGTCTTATTTATATCACCTCAACTTCCAGAATAACCTGCTGATTATCCTGTACCCAAACACATTCCTTAATTTTAGCCATGCGGTGTCTCTGCAGCTAGGAAATAATAAGCTACAGAACATTGAAGGAGGAGCGTTTATGGGTCTCAGCGCATTAAAACAGCTACACTTGAACAACAATGAATTAAAGGTTCTTCGTGCTGACACTTTCCTTGGCATTGAGAACTTGGAGTATCTCCAAGCGGACTACAATTTAATCAAATATATTGAGCGGGGAGCCTTTAATAAACTTCACAAGCTCAAAGTCCTCATTCTTAATGACAACCTGATTTCTCTCCTACCTGATAATATTTTCCGATTTGCTTCTCTGACCCACTTGGATATTCGGGGCAATCGCATCCAGAAAATGCCCTACATTGGTGTCCTGGAGCACATTGGGCGCATTGTGGAATTGCAGCTGGAGGACAACCCGTGGAATTGCACCTGTGACCTTCTTCCTTTGAAGGCCTGGCTGGAGAACATGCCCTACAACATCTACATCGGCGAAGCCATCTGTGAGACCCCCAGTGATCTCTACGGGAGGCTTTTGAAAGAGACCAACAAACAAGAACTCTGCTCCATGGGGACGGGGAGCGATTTTGATGTCCGAATCCTGCCCCCTTCCCAGCTGGATCCTGGCTTCAGCACTCCCAACGGCCACACCACCCAAACCACGATGCATCGGTTGGTCACCAGACCTCCCAAAACGACCAACCCTTCCAAAATCTCTGGAATCGTGGCTGGGAAACCTTTCTCCAGCCGCAACCTCAGTCAAATCGTGTCTTTTCAGACCAGGGTGCCCCCTCTGACCCCTTGCCCACATCCCTGCATTTGCAAAACCCACCCTTCGGACTTGGGATTAAGCATCAATTGCCAAGAGAAGAATATCCACTCCCTGGCCGAGCTGGTCCCTAAGCCTCTGAATGCCAAGAAATTGCACGTTAATGGCAATTACATCAAGAACGTGGAGGTGTCCGACTTTGTTGAGTTTGAAGGGCTGGATTTACTCCATCTGGGCAGCAATCAGATTGTGGTCATCCAAGGGGAAGTTTTCCACAACCTGACCAATTTACGGAGATTGTATCTGAACGGCAATCAGATCGAGCGGCTGAGTCCTGAGATGTTTGCCGGGCTACACAATCTTCAGTACCTCTACTTGGAATACAATGTCATTAAAGAGATTTTAGCTGGCACCTTTGACCTGATGCCCAATTTGCAACTCCTCTACTTAAACAACAACTTGTTGAGAAGTTTGCCTGCCTACATTTTCTCCCGGGTACCGCTCGCTCGGCTGAACCTGCGCAACAACCATTTCATGTACTTGCCTGTGAGCGGTGTGCTGGACCACCTGAAAACCTTGACCCAAATTGACCTGGAAGGGAACCCCTGGGACTGCACCTGCGACTTGGTGGCCCTGAAGCTGTGGCTGGAAAAACTCAACGACGGCATTGTGGTGAAGGAGCTCAAGTGCGAGACTCCCGTGCAGTTTGCCAACATCGAACTGAAGTCGCTCAAAAATGAGATCCTGTGTCCCAAACTCCTCAAGTCGTCTTTCTTCACCAGCCCGGCCCCTGTGCTGACCTTCACAACTCCTTTGGGCCCTGTCCGCAGCCCTCCTGGTGGTCCGGTCCCGCTTTCCATCCTCATCTTGAGCATCTTGGTGGTCCTGATTTTGACAGTCTTCGTAGCTTTTTGCCTCCTGGTCTTCGTTCTCCGTCGCAACAAGAAGCCCTCCTCCAAGCACGAAGGCCTGGGCAACCCCGAGTGCACTTCGATGCAGCTCCAGTTACAGAAGCACGATCACACGGCCCAGAAAAAGGACACCTTGGGGGCCGAGTCCTTCATCCCGCAAACAATCGAGCACATGAGCAAAAGACACTCGTGTGGCTTAAAAGAAGCCGAGACAGGTTTCATGTTTGCCGAACCGGTGAGCCAGAAAGTCATCCTGAGAAACAACAGCGAGAAGGAGAAAGAATTGCTCCACACGGATATCCGGAAAAGACTGAGTACCATTGACGAACTGGATGAATTATTACCGGGGCGGGATTCTAATCTCTTTATCCAGAATTTCCTGGAGAACAAAAAGGAGTACAACAGTATAGGGATCAGTGGCTTTGAGATACGCTATCCAGAGAAACAGCCGGACCGAAAAAACAAATCTTTAATAGGAGGAAATCACAGTAAAATAGTGGTGGAACAGAGGAAAAGTGAATATTTTGAGCTAAAAGCTAAACTTCAGGGCTCCCCGGATTATCTGCAAGTCCTCGAAGAGCAAACGGCTTTGAATAAAATCTAGGCCGTGCAATCTGATTTCTTACAGAGGACTTTTATTTAATGATGCAAGTGCCTTTTGTTGACTTTTCCTTTTCCAAATATGGTACTCTCCCGATAGGCATAGAGGCAGGCAATCCAGGGGTGTGTGTGTGTGTGTGATAAAATTATAGCTCCAAATAGATTTTATTTCTTAAAAACTCTGCCCAGTGTGGAAATGGTAGGGAAAACTGCAAAGACTTTGTTGCCAAGGTGTTGCTTTATAAACATATTACACTGAATTTAACCTCAAGAGGAATATATATTTTCTACCCTAATTGCAAAACTTTCATCTCCTTGTGATTTGTTCAAACAAATGCACAAGAAAAAGAAGAAGAAGAGAGAAAAACTAAGGGAAGCGGAAGAAACTGTGCTGGTGAATTCCACACGGATGAAAGTTGCTAAAGGAACCAAACCTGGTTTCAACCCTATAAAAAGTGGTGGATTTCGCGATTGCAAGAGATTTTACAAACCACAAAAGCATGCAAACGAAAGAACCTTTCCATAGTTAAAATTGTAAAATTGGTTACTTTTTCAGCCTGCATCTTGAAAACACTGGATTTATAATGTTTAAAAATTGTGCAGAAATCTTCTCTTTAAAAAAAAAAAAAAATTACCGTTCATTGCATCCATACAAAAGCAATTTTGACCATCTGATTACATGCCAGAAATCTGCATAAAATTGATTCAGACGAAACCCAAGTGGCAACGAGGACTGGAAGAAAAAAAATACTTGACGTTTTAAGACAAACCAACTCCCACCCATGGTAAAACTCCTGTCAACCCCCCAAGGTTGTCCAAAATTTTCAAAAATTTGCTTGCTGTGTGAGCGTCTCAGAAATTATTTTTGTAATATAATTCATATTTATGAAGTACTTTGTATACTAAATAGGGGAAAAATTATGTACTCCTCATAATGTATTTAAATATGCCTGATTTGTTTTCCTGGTCACAACGGTGCATTAATCATTAAATATAATTTAAACAAAACAAAAAAACAAAAACAAAAAGAGAGAACCAATATACCAAACAGAAACTATTGATGAAATGTATAGATTTATTTGAGAGTCAATGTGATCAGGTCTTAAGAATAATAATGATGATGATGAAGATGATAATAATAAAATTATGTTCTGTACTACTTTTGTGAAAACCACATAGGGTCTTATTTAGATTTGTGGCACCCATTTCTGTGTCATATAAGTCCATTTTGCCTGTCCTGTTTTTTTCTTTTGTTAGCAGTGTTGAGATTTTAGAGCTCTTCCAGTTTTGAGGGGTTAATTTCATTAATGGTTTAAGCTGATGGAGTCACTAATGAGACAGGTTAATGGTGTGTAGAGACATTTCTGATTGGTTGTGGTGCTGTTGATTGTATTTCAGTTTACAATTGTCTAGACTTTCTCACCATATTTGGTGGCCCGAAGGATGTTTACCAACAGGCCTATCTTTTTCAGAACCCCAAAATTGATAAAACTAGAGGGGCTGCCAAGAACATACCCTAAGTCCTCTCTGCTCCATCCTTAATAGATCCTCATTCTTCTATCCTTTGAAGAGGAGCCCTTTGAAGAGGCGGTGTTCAGATGTTGTGGTTACTTCCTACTTTTTTTAAGGATTTGGCCCCCTCTGGAGGAAGAAATTTAGAGCTGTGAGGTATTTTTTTAGTGATATTCAGCTTGTGTCCATTTACAATTCCTGTAAGCTGCTCAATTTGCTAAGGCAGGGGTCTTCAAACTTGGATAGCTTTAAGACTTGTGGACTTCAACTCCCAGAATTCCTCCTCCAGTCATGTTAGCTTAGGAATTCTGGGACTTGAAGTCCACAAGTCTTAAACTTGCCAACTTTGAAGACCCTAGTGCTGAGAAGGTGGCTTTCGGTTTGGTGGGTTCACAACTTGTGTTACCCAGTATCCTGATTGACTTGATGGAATGCAGTGGTTCCTAATGTTAGTTGGTCAAATTCATCTATCACAAGTATGTCTAGTTGCCAATTTTATCCCATCCTCTACAGTTGTAGAAGTCGTTTGTTTGCTGCGACTGAAAGCAAGAACAATTTATTATGGAAAAAAAATGCCGTGTTTACAGCTTAGAAACCCTAAGCTCTGGAGAAGATGGAGATTTTGGCTACTGCTGTTGTTTGACAAGATCTCTTTCTCAATCTTTAGGTATAGATCAGGATCTACGATGATCTATTTTTAAGTCTACTTCACCCAAAGAGTGACTGGAGGGTAAAACTGCTTCTGGAATATAAATTGCAGAGAAGATGACATTGTCAGACCTTTCTAGCACAGGTTCTGTCAGTAAAAAGACCCTACTTTGCACTCTAGATTTTTCTTCCTCCACCCAGCCAGTGAGTTGCCACTTGTAACGTTGAGTCCAGAAATGATGCTGTTGTTGTCTTCATGGTTTGTTTTGAAGTAGGCTATGGATAAAACTCCAATGCCCTTTTCATGGAACGGTTGCTGACCCAGTGAGATCCTTTAAATCTCATTGTCATGGAGTATAGTACAGGAAGCGACTCAGCGTCCTTGTTGGGTATTTGATTTTGTGGAAAGTGAGAGCTGAAATTCAGGCTTGACAAGAGCATATTTTCACTCTGAGAGACCAGGGACATCTGAGTGGTAGTTCCCCTAGGGAATCTAACTGGATGCTGCAAAAAATCTCAGCTCTGTGGAAGCTTGACTATACGATTCTGAGTTTTATAGGTAGTTGTGGTAAAAATTGATCATATCCATCAAAATTCAGGAGACGGAAAGAAAAGATGAGTATAAACCTTCTCATATACCTTGATCTAGTTTCCACAAACTGTCATCTTCCAGATGTTTTAAGACTAGAGTCTTCAGGATTCCCCACTTCTGGAGGACATCAGGTTAAGAAAGGCTGAATTAATTTTCCTGGGCTGAACAGAAGCTGTGGTATTTATTGTTTGTTTGTTTGTCTGTTTATTTATTTATTTATTTGCAGGCTCTTGTTGCAAGCAAAATCAAGTTCTTGAAATCCTAGGCAAAAGGTTGTCCGCCCAGCACAACCCAGATTAGCTGGAATAATTGCTTGAGTTAAATTATTTCTGAAATCCATCATCATTTGAAGAAAGTTATAATAATCTCAGGGAAGGTAGATAATTCATTGAGCGTTAATGAATGGAAGCTCTTTCCATTGACGAAAGATTCAACCAGGTGGCGCTTCAGGGATCAAAATGTCACCAGTGGGAATTGAAATCAGGTATCTGGGTCTGGTTTTTCCCCCCCTGCTCCCTGGTGAAACCAAGAGATAAGCCACAAATTGTCTTAACGACAGAAAAATTAGAGTATGGAAATTGCCTTAGTATATTCAGGGGGTGTTGAAATTACTTTTCTTGGATGGGAAGAATGCTTTCAATAAGTAGAGGTCCATCTGTGGTCTGAAGTGGTATGAATCAGAGGTACCTTCACCAGCTGCTGCTTATGAGAACAATGCTCAAATAATTGAATGAAAATTGAAAATACTGAAAGAGGAAGACATTTTCAGCATGCATATTGGTTTATGGTGTCCTTGAATTCTCTCCCCTCCAATCCAGGTTAGAAAGATTGGTTGCAAAAGATGAATGCTAACAGGTGAATGTGGAGAGAAATTGAATAACTCATTGGCCTGATGGACACACCGTAGACTTTGTTTTAATGGCTTAGCGTTGTGTGCTTATTCAACCAATGTCAATATTCAGGCCTTGTGGCTTATTTAGGATTATCAAGGAACTAAGTTTGCTATCAGATAGGAATTCAGCCAAAAGGGTATGTCAGACAGTGTATGGACAAAAATTCTATAATTTTACAGTACTTTACGCTTGTTTGCAAAGAAGCTCACATTGAAGGAAGATATAAGATCCGATGCAATGTTAGTGAACGTTACTCGATTTTGCAATGGGGGCGAGAGAAAGGTTGGAAGCTTGGTGATATTTTAATCCTTAAAAAATGCCAGATATCCAGGTGCGTCCTTGGCACATTGTATTCACCACTAGACAAGATGCCGCTGGATTCGTGTAAGCTGTCAGATAGCCATCATGTAGCTCCCAAGGCCTACAGCCTCACATGGAGAATCCTGTCAATTCTACTCTCCAGGTCTTTTTACTCACCTGTCAAAGATGAGTCAAATCCTGAACAAATAACTTTGTCTTCTCCTTCTCTACCTCTTCAAATTCAAGTTGATAATTCCAGTTCTCCTTCAACTTAAAATACTTTCCAGGAGGGAACCAAACTGTGATGAAGTTCCTATAATGAATGATTCCTTGACCTTGCAAATAACTAGAAGGTCCATAGGTGTGGATATTTTTGTCTTTCCGGAAATACAGGAAGTATTTTTCAGGCTGCAAAAGCTTTCCTCAAGCCTCTGGCAGGCCAAAAAAGGCCTCAAACCAGCCAAAAATCAGCTGGGAGGTATGCACGCATGCGCAGTGAGGTAAGTTTGCCGGTGACTCGCATGCCGGCACAAATGGCTCTGAGTGCCACCTGTGGCACACGTGCCATAGGTTCGCCATGACGGGCCTAGGAGGTAACACATGAAATTGGCTAGTGGTCTTTGTGCTCTTGACAGCTTAATAATACGAACGCGTCGCAAGGGCCTCTAGCCATTCAAGGAGAAATGCGCACTTGTGAAGGGTAGCAAGTAGCAACATTGGTTGGATTTAGAAATTGTGGTGCTGTTGCTGCTCAGCCCCCGCTTTCTTTTCACCAACTGGATTTTTGAGAGAGGTGACTAATGTTGCCCCTGTTTTAGGCTTCAAAATAATTGCTGTTGTCAGTGCTGGTTGCAGTGTGGATTTTGTAAACCATCCATTCTGCCGTATGAAGTTGAGATACCCCACAACGGGTCATGAATGGAATAGCAGAGTGGGATTATTGGTACAGGTCATCCTCAACATATGACCATAATTGAGCTCAACATTTCAGTTGTTAAGTGAGGCATTTGTTAAGCGAGTTTTGCCCCGTTTTTATTGACCTTTCTTGCTTCACTTGTT